TATGTTTACCTCAGGGTAAACACCTATCAATGGTCCCAATGTTCTACCCCCCAGGGGTGCGCCTCACACTCCACAGAGGTACTGGCACAGGCACAAAGGCCTCAAGTGTGGCAGTTCTGTTGATCCTTGAAGTTAGATGCAGTTTGGGTTGTTTCTTCCTATGCAGAAGTAGTTATTCAATTGATGATAACAACCACACAAGTGGTATATATACATATACATATACATATACATATACATATACATATACATATACATATACATATACATATGCATACATATATATATATATATGTGGGCAAATAATAATACTTCACTAACCTGAATAGTTCGGCCATTTGGGGATAATTTCCCCTTAACCATGATTCCAGGTTTCGGGAGAATAGTGAGATCGTGATGAAATTTACCCAGATATATGGTGTTTGTCTTAATCACTATATAAATCCCTATTAATCCCCATTAATGACTATTAATCCATATCAATCCCTAGTAACAATGCTCCCAGATACCCTCTGGTAAACTAACAGTTTGCTATGGAAAATCATCATTTTTCATGGGTAAATTACGGTAAATCCACTATTTCGACTGATGGCCTTTTTCCAGTTCGCTTTTTCTCTATGTTTACCAGGTTCAATCCCTATTATAATCACTATCAATCACCATTCATCACTATGAATCATATCCAAGCTCCACTATCAATCCCTAGATATCCCTAGATATCCAGTGGCTCCCAGTTTTTGTGGTGCACCACGTGGGTACCATATCCATCCACCAATCACGTCACGTCATTGGATCACGTCATGGGACGTAAAAAATTTATACCGGGCTCCGCACGTGCGGATCGCAGTCCAAGAGGCGGGCCTCTCTGAGGCTTGGGGGAGTTCCTTAGATCAAGTGATCAACCTATAGAAAATGGCCATAGAACGAGTTGATGTACCGAACTTAAAGATGGTGATTTTCCATAGTTATGTTAGTTTACCAGAAGTGATGAATTGGTTAACCAGATCCCTATAGCCCTGGTTTTTGTGGGGTCACATTTGACAAACAGATCCCTATTTTGGTTGGTTAAATGCCGTTGTGTTGGTGAAATTGGTCAACGTGGCCTTTATGACATTGGTTAACCACCCATTTAGGAATGGTGTTTATAGCACCTATACAAATGGTGATGACTGGGGGATGGATTATTATTGTTTTAAACACATTAGACTGCTTGAATCCCCAGTGTTTCAATGGGAGATCTCCAGGATCCTAAATTGGAGGTACTTACTGTACCATATTTTTGGCCATATGAATTGTGGGGATATTCCCTTACATAAACTACAATGTGAGGCCCCCAGTCGATAGCTAAGTTGGTGCAAATAACTCCAATGTCACTATGGTTCATGGTATTTATAATGAACTAGTTACTGGGGCGAATCTAAACCAACTTATATCTTGGGGGCCTCACATTGTATTGTATGATACCCTCTGGTAATTTAACATAGCTATGAAAAATAATGATAATAATGGTCAATAATGATAACAATGGTGATAATAATGGTTACCTGGTTGGTGGTTTTAACCATGTTGAAAAATATGAGTTCGTCAATGGGAAAGATAACATCCCATATATGAAATGGACAATTTAAAAAAGTTTGAAGCCACCAACCAGATAACTATGATACTTAAAATGAATTGAGATGATACATTACTATGTACATGTGTTGTCTCCAATAATGAATGTATATAAATGTTGTACATAGATAAGTATTTCAGTGGTTCGTAATCATTTTTGAGGTTTCCTGAAATGGGGGTACCCGTAAAGCATACATTTATAGATGGAATTTCCTTTATAAACCATCCAGCTATTGGGGTACCCTCCATTTATGGAAACCCCCAACTCATGAACTTGTGGTTGAACTGGGGAAAAGGGTGGCTTAACCATCAAAAATAGTAGTTTAATGGATACCACTTTCTTACCGGGAAATCAAACGTGGCTGGCTGGAAAATGCACGAACTACAGTAAATGGTGTTTATAGCTGGGAAAATAATTGAACTAAATGGAGGATTTTCCAGCAAGCCACATTTGATGACACTGGAGAGTAGCATGGTTGATTGAAATAAAGTATAGTGGATCTTATATGTGATGAACCCCAATATTATTTTATAAACTATGGTGCGTATGTATATAATATGCATATATACATATTTATAGTAACTCCCAAAAAAAAGAAGACACAGGTTTCGAACATTTTCGAACGTGTATATATTTTTTTTTCGGCGGTTGCTATGTATGGTATGGTATGGTATGGTAATGGCTATGGTTATGGTCATGGGTATGATATGTTACAGTATGTTATGTTATGTTATGTTATCTTATGTTATGTTATGTTATGTTGTGCTATGTTATGTTATGTTATGTTATGTTATGTTATGTATATATACATGATCAGATCAGAGTCCCAAAATTGGGGTCAATGAGTTTGAGCAATACCCATGTGAGTATACTTTAGCAGAGGTGCAAACTCATGGAAATCCGTTGAATTGGGCATCATTGGGCGGCTCGCCCACTGCTGGTCTTTGTGCCAGAGGTTTCATAGTTTGATGTTTAGCCGAAAACTGTGGTTGAACCAGCAAAAAAACGGCTTAATTAATCAATTCAACAAGAAAAGCTGAGGACCTAACCAGCAAAATTCCCAGGGAATTAACCATCAATTGAAAACACTAAATCAATGGGAATTTCAGGATCCTAAAATGGAGGTACCTACCATATATAAGGCCTATTTTTTAGGCCTATGTAAGGGAATATCCCCAGAAAATATGGCCTTATATGGTACAGTACCTCCATTTTAGGATCCTGAAATTCCCATTGACCAATTGAAAACACTAAATCCAAACATTGAAGATAAAATGCCACGGATTTTCGTGTCGAGGGACGAAAGAGAAACCTGCCGAAAGCCACGCAGAGGCCTGGAAAAAAAGAAGGCTCTTCGTGCTTCGGGTCATCAGGGCAAAAGGATGCAAAAGGCAAAACATCAACCAGGTGCAAGGTGGTGCCCCAGTTCGTTAGCTAAGTTGGTGCCAATAACTCCCATTTCACTATGGTTTATGGCAGATATAACTATAGTTAATGGGGTTTATAAACCAACTTATAACTGGGAAGCACCATCCTGTGGGGTTGTCTGGGAATAGGGCTTGTCTGGCAACTCCAAAATATATGGTGCCCAAGAGTTGAAAAACCCGACTTGTTTTTTGCAAAAAATGTCATGTGTGTCCCATTTTTAGACATACAAATCTCTGTCCCTATCTGCTTGGCTAGACTGCTAGACTCCCAAATGTCAAAAATTGATTTGGTTTAACCATTTATCAATCATTTATCATATGTTTTCCCATAAATTGATTCGGTTCAGCCATTTATCATATGTTTTCCCATTGAATGATACCATTTTAAATGGCCCCAAATGGAGATTATTTTATCTCCCAGGGATTTCATCGAAATAAAGCTGACAAGTGAACATTGAAAAAAGCCGAAAAAAAAAGTCCCAAGGTGAAGAAAAAAACACCTCAAACAAAGTTGGGGATTGCGTCATCATCTTCTAAAATCTCACTCCCCCTTGGAGAAATCTATTGGTTTAGCCAAGCTCGGTTAGTCTTTCCAGAGCAGGGCATGGCCAGCGATCCGATCAATTCGTGGAAACCATGGTGGAAATTGCTTCTTGAAAGATGTGGTGCGTTTCACCACCAAAAAGGATGATAGGATGGCCCCTTAACATACCCTCTGGTTATGTCAAAATAGCTATTGAACATGACCATTTATAGTGGATTTACCCATTGAAAATGGTGATTTTCCATGGTTATGTTAGTTTACCAGAGGGTACGTTGAAACATATTGAAACCAATTCGTTGATGTCATCAGCCATGAATCCCCAAAAAGTACGCACTCCGAAATGAAGATCCGAAACCAGCCATGAACCAATGCTGGTTGGTGGTGCAATGTGCCCATCTTGAAAAATTTGAGTTCGTCAATGGGAAGGATAACATCCCATATATGAAATGGAAAATAAAACATGATTGAAACAACCTTCCCCAGCAATGGTTGATGCATCCTTTTTACCTTGGCTTTCCGGCATTGGGTCGTTAAACGGAGTGAAACATTCACGGTGCTGCGATGGTATCTGTATGTATCTGTGCTGTGGTACGCACTTTACGGCTGTGTGAATGGATGCAGTGGCTGATCCGCTGTGAGGATGAGTGTCATGTCAATGTTCCTGACTTTTCTGCTACTCTGTGTGGTCAAAAAAAGTATGAAAATGTATGAAAATTCACATGAAGAGCCAACAGAAATGCGTTAACCGAAACTTAAAATTCACATGAAGAGCCAACAGAAATGCTAAAAACCTAAACTTGAAAACCCAACAGGAACCAGGATTTTCCCAAGGTTTTTTCTGAAAAGACCATGTTGCCTGGAAGGATCCTTTTGTGAAACTGGGAATCTATTGATACTAGAAAATAGATGGGTGCTTGAAGCAAGAAAAACCTTTTAAGTATTTTAAATATATATATATATTCAAAAAGTATAAACCATCTATATGATATTTTTTTTGGAAAAAAAAAATCCATTGAGATAGCAAGTAGAAAATAGCAAAAGTGTGTTTGAACGACTTGGGATCGTTGGATCAATCCATGGCGGTAAGGATCTGATGCTGTCAGACGGGATCTTTCACAAAATTCACAACGAAAATTCACGAAAAATGACTGGATCTGTTTGTGAATCCTCTAAGTTTTTACCCTAATCCTCAGATTCATAGGAAAACAAATCATGTTTGGTGACTTTTTTTCAGAAAAGGATCATTGTTCTCTAGCTTCAAGCAAAAAAACATAAATGAACCACTAGTGTATAGCCTGTGGTTATTTAACATGGCTGTGGAAAATGAGCCATTTATAGTTGATTTACCTTAATTATTAGAAATGGTGTGATTTTCTGTAGCTGAAATGAAACCCTGAGAAGTTTTTCAGATCCATCAAGAGCGAAGGCCCATCTTGCCGCGTCTCACTGCCCTGCATAGCGCGGCTGGGAAGTTTCCCTCGCTTCGCGACTGAAAAAAAGAGTGATTAGATGCGACTAGACTACTTGGGGGTGCATCCCACTTAGTAAGTGAATATTAACCATAATTACACCCGAGTATACCCCTAGTTATGTATGGAATACTCAGAATACTCCCAGTTACGTATATGGGTTATAAACACTGACTATTGGATCTGACCATGCAAAATTGAAGACGTTTTCCAGAAAGCTTGACAGTCTGCCTATAGAAAATCAAGATGCCGAACGGTAAATCATGGGAAATCAACTGGTTGGTGGTTTCAACCAACCCCTCTGAAAAATGATGGAGTTCGTAACAGTTGGGATGATGAAATTCCCAACTGTTTCATGGAAAGTCATAATCCATTCCATGGTTGTCACCACCAAGCAGATGATATTGGAATGATAGAAAATAAAGTATGATCATTCAAATACAACAAAATTACCAATATCAAATACATTCATTCTTAAATGATCATTCTTAAATGGAATGATGGTATATATTCAAATTCTAATGATCATTCAATACAATGAGGTCCCAGGATGATCATTCTTCACTTCTATCATTCCATTACCCGACGCTTCATCCATCGCTGGATCCCACTGGAGTATCGTCCCACTGGACGCCGCGTTTTTCGCTGCGTTTTTCGGTCGTATGACGGGTGGCACCTCTGATTTTCTGGGACACCCGTCATACCATAAATCTACCATTTGGTAGTTTATAGTACCCATAAAAAATGATGATTTTTGAGGGCTGGTCGTTGATTGTTGGGTTTACAACATTAACTGGGATACCCGGCCTGGTAAACATACAAAAGCTATTGAAAATGGCCATTGAAATAGTGGATTTTACCCATCAAAATCATGGATTTTCCTGATTTTCCATAGTTTTTTGTATGTTTACCAGAGGGTAATTTTCTAAGCGGGGACTAAAAAACGTTGAACACTTGCCGGATCTTTTCCCGATCTTTTCCCGTTTCTCTTTCTGGTCGTCTTTTCGTGGGATTGGTTTGGAAAAAAAACCACACATGGCCGGCATGTTTCCAGGAATGTCACTGTTTGGCCATGTGAAATACCCTCTGGTAATTTAACATAGCTATTGAAAATGGCCATTTATAGTGGATTTTCCCATTGAAAATTGTGATTTTCCATAGCTATGTTAGTTTACCGGAGGGTACACTGTTTTTTGTTCCTATGTTTTGGAACAATGTCTTTCCACAGGGAATTTTCGGTTTTCCATGTTAGTCTGACTGGTTTATCCTCACTAGGGTTATTAGGGTTGAAAAAAGGCCCAGTCCACAGGGAATATGAGACCATGGATGAATCTAAATGTAAAACATATGTCTTTAGATGGAAATACAATGAAATATATTACAGTACCCTCTGGTAAACATACAAAAAGCTATTGAAAATGGACATTTATAGTGGATTTACCCATTAAAAATGGTGATTTTCCTAGTTACAGTATGTTACAGTTTACCAGAGGGTAAGTGACTCGTCCATTTTCGTATAGCTTAACAACGCTTCCGACCGGGGATCCCCGCCTGCCGTTCACCGAGTCCCCATCTTCTCCTATCCGCTATCCGGTACCCGACATGGGAATGACGACTACATGATTTACCTTCTGGTTATGGTGATTTAATTGTTTTTTAATGGTGATTTAATGGGTTTTTTTATGGTGGTTTATGGTAATTTATGGTGATTTAATTGGTTTTTATGGTGAATTAGTGAATTAATGGGTTTTTATGGTGATTTAATGGGTTTTTTATGGTGATTTAATTGGTTTTTGTGGTGATTTATGGTGATTTAATGGGATGTAATGGGATTTACCCTCTGGTAATGACTAACAGTTTGCGAACTTGAAGCCATGGCCCATAGAAATAGTTGATTTACCGAACTTAAAGATGGTAATGTTCCACAGCGAACTGTTAGTTTACCAGAGGGTAACATCCGTGTACCAGGCGACGAAAATAGCAATGTTGAGGATCTTACAACCCTCGATGTTCGATCCCCACGCTGCTTGATGTTTTTTTAGGAATCAAGAATCATGTGAGCAAAGCAATAGTAACAAACCATCCCCAATTTTACCATCAACGAGTGGTACAAAGCATCAACATATTGGTGGTGTACTATTGCTTTACTACCCTTTAGTAAGCAAACATAGCTATACAGGATGGGGCCCCCCAGTTATAAGTTGGTTTATAAACCATTATAATCCCCATTAACTATAGTTATATTTACCATAAACCATTGTTAAGCCACTTATAAACCAACTTAGCTATCTTGGGGGCCCCATCTTGTAGAAAATCACCATGTTTAAATCGGAAACTCATCGAAAGTGCCATGGCTTCCATAGCTATGTCCGAACTCCAAGAGATTGTTCCTGGAGGCTCCTGGATGAGTTCCGCAACATGTCATTCTGTCATTCATATGTTTGAAGGCATCATAAAATCTCTTGAAAAGAGAAATCCCTGTTTCTTGGGTGATAGATCTATCCCAATGTTTCTGTTTGGATATACAAATTGGCTGTTTTTCTGGCCAATAGCTTCATAGCGATTGGACACATGCTCCTTGTTTGTCGCTTAAACCCCCATTTCTTCTAGATAAATGTCCCCAATTGCTAGAACAACCAAGTACTTTTGTATGCAGGCCTTTTCCAAACTTGGCCGACTCATTTTGGATGGCCACCCATGTTGGTGAAGATCAGCCTACCCGGGTGGCCACTGAACACAGTGGTTCCTTGTGAAAACCATCATTGGTGGCTGGTTTCATCATCCCAACAGAGTTGAGCATATTAGATATCCCCATAAAATTTACCAGCACCCCACAACAAGATAGACAAGTAAACATCCTACCAAGTATATGTATGTATATATATATACATAATTAATGGAAATTGTAATTATATATATATATATGTATACAGTATAACAGTAGAATGCGATTGTTTTGCTTTTCCATCCCTTTTCCATACTTTTCACCTGGCCACAGCTACCCCGTGACCAGGCCTGAACCCACAGGCGGCCGCCGTCGACCGGTCGCCTTCCCCTGCGCGAAACAAATCTCGGTTTTCTACAAAGGGAGGCTCATTCCACGAATCATAAATGGTTAATAATGATTGCAACCGATGATGGTTAATAATGTTATGAAATGATAAGGTTAATCCCTTTGCTAAAAATGATCAACATGGTAACTTCCCCATGATATTTAGTAAGTTAATTACTTATGATTAGTAGTAAAACAATGGTGAATACTCGCTAACTAATTACTATGATTGGTTCAATAGTAAGTACTTAATAAATCATAGATGATTAACTAATTATTAACATGTATTAACTATTAGTAAATGACTTGCCTAGTAGTGGTTAATAACCATTGTTAACCATTCGTGGTTCATGTGGTTATTTATGTTATTTAGTTCACCCATGAATGATTGATGTGGCAGCGCAACGATAGTTCTAGACCTTATAATTAGTAAGTGGGTCATAACCACGGTTATACTCATGTTATACTCATGTTGTACTCATGTTATACTCATGGTATACTCAGGATACCTCTAAATACCATGAGTTAACTGGGTTACCCTCTGGTAATTTAACATAGCTATTGAAAATCACCATGTTTAATGGGAAAATCCACTATAAATGGCCATTTTCAATAGCTATGTTGGTTTACCAGAGGGTAACATGTTATAATCTATTTGTAGATGGGATAACCAACGGTTATCGGAGACGAATCGCAGGACGAAAAACAGCGCACCACGACCAGCTTTTTGGGGGGATGATCCTGCAAGTAAGTTGGGTACTGTGGGGTACAGCCCAGCAAGTTGGGGTATCAGCAGAATGGGGAAATACCCTCTGGTAATTTAACATAGCTATTGAAAATGACCATTTATAGTGGATTGAAAATGGTGATTTTCCATAGCTATGTTAGTTTACCAGGGGGTAATGCAATATGTCAATGGATTGTTTTAAGGGAAAATCTTCAGGAAACCATGGTTTTAACCACAAAATATAGGGTTTTCCGGTTCCAATTTTCCCTTAAACCAATTCTATAAATATGATATTGGGGTGTGTCTGAAAATGTGGCATTTTCGAAAAAACACTGTTTTGATAGGGAAAATGATGATAACTCCTGGTATTTAGAGGTATCCTGTTTTCGCCCAAACCCAGATGGTACCAGTAAATTGCAACCGTAAGTGCAAACATGTGAGTGGTAGATACCAGTGATACTTTATAGACTATTATTCCTGCAACAAAATACCTTGAAAAAAAAACTATACAATACTATACATTCTTGTAGTAGATATTATATATATACACATATCTTATATAAGAATGGTACAAAACACCAAAAAGACGCAAGAGAGCTGTCTGCGCATCCACTTGCATATCTACCTGGCCAGGTGTCGGCCTCACCCCCATCATGTTGCAAACTCTCTGGTAATCTAACCCGACAATGAGATTCATTGTGTTCAGGAGGTAATCTATCCATATTATGTACTTTCCCAAACTGAAGATGGTATACATAACGGTATAAATCGGTATATATAAATTAGTATAACTACCAAGTTTTCTATCTGGCTTCTGAAAGTATCTTAACTATCATGTTCCCATCATTTTCCCTATGGAAAGTAGCTATGTCATCAGGGCCTCATCTCCCATGGCTGCTGCATAAGCTGCGCACCTGTTCAGCCTCGCCCTTGGCACCCTTCGGCTCCGCCAAGACGACTTCTCCTTGGAATGAGTGGTTACTGTTACATCGCTGGAATGAAACATACAGTAATACGAGTTTACCCTCTGGTAAACTAACATAGCTATTGAAAATGACCATTTATAGTGGGTTTTCCCATTGAAAATGGTGATTTTCCATAGTTATGTTACATTACCAGAGTTTAACAATCTGGTTGGTGGTTTCAACCCCTCTGAAAAATATGAGTTCGTCAGTTGGTATGATTATTCCCAATATATGGAAAAATAAAATTCATGTTCCAAACCACCAACCAGCAATGCCGCCATGTTGTTGAACCAACAACAATTGTAGGCCTGGGCTCATCGTTACTTTCTTGCTTCGCATGCCCTAGCTGTTTGCTGATCTACATCCCATGTTTGATAGCCCCCATTCCACCATGTACCCAACATGTTTTACTTCATCGCATCATTGTACCCCATCAATGTCCGTCTGGGACCATATCATGAACACCATCAAATACCCAGAATTGACACCACTTGTTTTCATTAACGCACTGAAAATTGCCCCTTTATTGAAGCAATACACATCCCTACTGTTCTTCCTTGTATCTGTTTGTTGGCCACATCTCAATTTTTTGGCTATAAAGCGCTCTTGTTCACCATTTTTGTTGCTTAGACCCCCAAAATATGACTGTCTCAAACCAATATATGTGTTTGTTCTCTGTGAACGGCCATTTTTCAAAAGCATGAGCTTTTACCAGCCATGAATTTTTGGGATACCAGCCGTGGATAGTTCTATAGTTTCCCTACTAACATGGCCATCAGTTAGGGAATATACTAACCATTTGCAGGAAAAAACACCCAAATATAATGATTGTTTATGATCATCCCCTTACCCTTACAGTTTTCTATGGAAAATCACCATTTTGAATGGGTAAATCACCATAAAAACCCATTCAATCACCATAACCAGAAGGTAAATCCGGTTACCCTCTGGTAAGAGTTTACAGGTTGCGAACTGGAAAGATCCACCATGTTATAGCTGGGTAAATCAACTATTCGACTGGGCCATGGCTTCAAGTTCGCAAACTGCTCGTCATTACCAGAGGGTAAATCCCATGACATCCCATGGAAAATCACCGTAAATTACCATTAAAATCACCATAAAAAGCCATTCAATCACCATAACCAGTTAAGGTAAATCATGTAGTCGTCATTACCAGACTAGGGTATATTCCCATGACATTTACCGGGAAATCCTCTGGTATTTTAACATGATTTACCTTCTGGCATATATAAGAGGGGTACTTCTTTAACATGATATTCCCATGATATTCCCTTACATGGTAAATTACCAGAGGGTATATTCCCAATTACCAGAAGGAAATCCACAACTAATTGGAGAATCACCATGTTTAATGGGAAAATCCACTATAAATTGTCATTTTCAATAGCAAACTGTTAAATTACCAAAGGGCAAATTACCATGTCGGGTAGATTCCCATGACATTTTCCCGCGAAATCCACACGACTCGGCCGGCAAGGCACTTTGCTTCTTCCCACCTTTGCCTTCTCTGGATGAATGGGACCTGAAAAATCCGGCGAAAAACGTGCGTAGGCAGCCTCTGGCAGGTAAAATCAACTCAATGGGAAAATAATGGTGATTTAATGGTGTTTTAATGGTGTTTTAATGGTGTTTTAAATGGGAAAATAAATTGAAAATCCACTATAAATGGTGTTTTAATGGGAAAATCATCGAACTAAATGAATGATTTTCGTTGATTTTCCGTTGCTATGTTTGATTACCTGAGGGAATATTTGTTGGAGCAACCCTTTAGGCAGAAACGACCAATCATCACAGTTCATCTTAGTTGGGTAATAAATTGTCTGAGGACATATCACGAAACGACCAATAGCCATACATAACAAAACTTCTGGATGATCTTCCCAGTTTTGCTTGTGAAACTTCAGTATTAAGTGTGGCTCGAATCATGCTTGACTTTCCCACTCAAAGTGGCGTGAATCATCGTGAATCTCCAGACTTCTCATAGTTTAGCCTGCAGTTGTCTCAATGGATTGGTTTAAGGGAAAATCTTAACCGGAAACCATGGTTTTTACTATCAAACATAGGGCCTATCCCGGTTCCTAAATTTTCCCATCATCCTTAATTCTATGATTGTCATATCCCCACCTTTTTTCACTTAAGATCTGCCATCTGCCAATGAAAATCATCAACCCTAAATTAAAATTCAGCGAATCTGCCCATCGCCCACGGTTGCCCGCCCCTTTTTTCGGGCCTCTCAGGAGCTGTCGTGGAATCTGCGGGTTGGCCAAGTTGGGATCAATGATTCGGATCATTGGATCATTGGAAAATCCTAGGAATCAAAACTCCAAAAAAAATCCATCGCCCCCAATTGTATCCCCATGGTAATACCCTAATATTTAACATTAATATTTGTTTATAAAATTTTATAAACCACAGTAACTATGTCCAAGATTCCAAGATCAAGAAAGGGAAAACAATGTCTTCCCGAAGCCACAGAGGGGTTGGAACAATGACAATGTGTTTATGTGCTTTTTGTTACACGTCTTTTCTCAAAATATTGGTGGTCCATGATTAACGAACAGAAACGTGGCTCCCAACCAGACTTGGGGGAGGCTTCACCCCTGCAATCATCTACCAGAAATGGGAAGTCAACCAAAACACATATGGAATCCAACATGATACAACTGCTGTTTTTTTTTAATACATGCATCTACAGTATGTGTATATATATACATGATATTAATTATTTACTCCTTTGTTGATTTAACGTCTGTGTGTGTACATATCTATAATCATCTATATATGCATTTACTTATCTATATGTTGATGTGGGAAATTTATGATATTTCACCAGCGGGGCATCGAAAAAAATCTGGCGGTCCCAAACATTCCAACGGACCCGTTGAAACGCTTGGGTTATTCATCAACTCTTCCGAAATGGCCCAGTTCTCAAATGGGAAGGTTTCCATGAATGGGGGGTATCCCAAAAGGGATGGTTTATTTCACGGAAAATTCGAACATAAAATGGATGATTTAGGGGTAGCCCTATTCTAGGAAACCTACAGAACCCCTGTAGAATCTTACCCAAACAGATTCTACAGCCGGGGACTAACTTGACAAAGGAACTGAGACCTCCTTCAAGTCTCCACTTAACAAACTATGCCGAAATTGTGTTTCAACATGCAAAGATTTGCCGTATTACAGCAAATGATATTAGTGATGTTTCATTCAACAATGTACCATTCACCTGTATATGTCTTGTAGATGATTTCCTGATTTTCTGCTGATTCTTTACGGAAAAAAAGTCGTTCCCTTTCCCAATTCTTTCTATGGTTATATACTTCTCTGTCTCTTTGGGAATCACTGTAGTTGTCAGTACATACTACAAGGTGGTGCCCCAGTTCGTTAGCTAAGTTGGTGCAAATAACTCCCATTTCACTATGGTTTATGGCAGATATAACTATAGTTACTGGGGTTTATAAACCAACAAACATCACTGGGGGGCACCACCTTGTATAACCTCGCGGAAACTCCACCACAAAAAAGTCTATGTTTAGTTTGAGATATCACCTGCTACTCCAATCTATTGTGAAAAAACATTCGGTTTGCCATCAAATAAGTCGGCGAACAAGTTGTATCAGTGCTTACCGTCTTATCGATATACAGTCCTTCCCAAGATTGATGAACCCCCCAAAAGAAACCCTGATAAATAGGATTTCCATACTAGTTATATCATGTTATATCATGTTATATCCCATCCCCCACTATTTTTAAACAGCCTCTAGAAAAACCATATGGTTTTCTGACCGTCCAACACATATGAC